GTAATACAGTATTTAATAAAAAAGTAGCTACATGTAAAAAATGGTGAGGTAAATAATGAAAAATGTTAGTGAATTTTTTAACATTTCATTTTTCACCATGGCAGGAGGAAGCACATAAATGGAATGAAATAACAAATTTAATCATATAATCTATAACAATAGACAAAGTTTTCAGATAAGTAGTCAACATAAAAATGCACATCGGAAATGACATATTTAGTAAAAAATAGTTTTTCCTCATTTGAAATTATCATGAATGCTACTAGTTTGTCGAGACCATTAAATACAGTATKTTCTGAAACCACATATTGTAACTACTGGAGGCAACTTTGTGCCAAAGACATTTAAAATGCATGAAATATTTATGAAACGTTTGTCAGTCTATATTTATTTCTGGATCTTTATGGATGCATTACGGTTGTATAAATTAGAGACAGCAATGGAACGCATTAGTAAAAGATCACCGCTGTCATCTCTCCTCCACCTGCTGGACTTGTCAGAATAGGTTTTTACCTTACAGTCCATCCGGCACAAGCGGCCCTCCTGGACGATGAGATCACCAGGCGCCTGCAGGAAGTGAGGGCGAAAGTGACGCTCCTGGATGTTATCGTTCTCATCACCGYTGTCTCTGGACCTGGACCTGGGCCTGACAGAGGGACAGATTTGGGGTTAAATTTCAACTTCAGGTACATATCTCTAAAAACCTCTTGAAAAKACCTCTGTTTAAAAGTTTATGATTTAGTTTTCTATTGAAGTTGATTTTCATGTTTATTTCTTATTCTGTTTAGTTTCTGTATTTTCTTTGTGCTCATTTTGTTTCATTGCCTCCTTGTGTTTTCCTCCCGTCAGTTCCCACAACGTTAGCAGAAGTGTTAGCAGAAGTTAGCGTCAGATAACCAGGATGATGTCATCATCTGCGACAAACATCATCGATGGCCACTGCTAGCCACTGCTAATGCTGCTGAAGATAATATTTAAAATCTAAATTCAAAATGTGTTCATAAAAAACAATATGGTGGTCCCTGTGGTCCAGCAGTTTGAAGTGCAGCTCAGACACCAGCCATAACTATAAGTTTGATGTCTTGTTTGGAAGCTTTAGCTGCATTGGAGAGCTAACTGTTGCTTTTGTCTCAGGATGATGATGTCATAACATGAGCGCTCTGCTGCGTTTCATTCCCAAATACATAAATGTGAACTTCAACATTAAAGGTTTAAATTTTACATTTAGATTTAAACATGTAGATTTAGGGTTTATTTAAATACTGTATATATTTTTATATTTCAATTTAATATTTAAAAAAATTAGCTAAATGTAAGAAAAGTGAGCTAAATAATGAAAATTATGTTAGTGTAGTTTTACAACATTTAATTTTACACTTAGCACCCCATAAATGACTGTCTCTTTAAGCTCTTCACAGCAGCTCAGGACCTTCAGGTGTTTTTAAAAATCCTCCCTGACATCAGCTGACATTAGTTCATCACCTGTACGCCAGCCTAGAACAGGCAGAGACACTGTTTTATGGCTCTCTCACTCTAAACAACTCTGAGCTCTTGTTGAATCAAGGAGTGTTCATGTTGATAACAGCTTCCAGGTGATTTTTATGTTCCTTAAGCTGCAAACAGAGTGCCTGTGATCATGTTTTACTATCTGGACCAGCTTGAACTGTCGATACAAGCTCAGAGTGATGAATACCAGAGCTCAGAAAACAGCTGTTCCCTCTCATTAGCTTCTCTTCCCTGAACGAACAGTTAAATCGAGAACAAAGTGTGATTTTAGCACAGAACAAACRTTTGTGTAAACGGGAGCCTCCTGGACCATTTGGTGTTTGTCTGTGTGCAACGTGAGTCATGCAGACGGTGAGCAGCTTGTTACACATGTGCCAGCCAGCAGCTGTCCAGACTTAAATAATCCCAAACATTTATTTTTTCGCCCCCTCCTTTTGCAGTGGACTCTCACCTGCGCATGTGTCCAGGCGCCATTCGAGGACTGCGGCCGCGCTGGTTTACTGCCTGCACCATCATCCTGCCAGTGCAGCTCACCCTGCCCTGTAATGGGAGGACACACCACAGCCAACGGTCAGACAGAAAGACAGAAAATCAGATGTGATGGATAAAGCTGGAACATGCCGTCCTTCAGCCTGTTGAACATGAACTTTTGACCCTTTCAAGGGTGTTAGTAACTTCCTGTTTCATTCAACGCCTTCCTCCTGTTCAGGCTGGAGGCCAGGATGTCAGCACACATTATCACACTGACCAGCAAGCTCCCAAATTTATGTGCTTTCTATTGCCTACATTCAGACGGTGGGTCTGTACATGTGTGTGTGTTTGTCTGTCATATTRGCAAAAGACACCATCAGGCCTAAGAAAAGTCGCCACCAAACAAAAAGTTCAGACACTAATATTTGGTTGGACCACCTTTAGCTTTGATTACGGCACACATTCTCTGTGGCATTGTTTCAATAAGCTTCTGCAATGTTACAAGGTTTATTTCCATCCAGTGTCGCAGTGTGGAGCCTTAAACTCTCAGAAAGGGATCACTGCATGCACATTTGTAACTGTTTTACTTTCCCAGTCAACTCGGTTTAAGATGACCGCCACAGTTATCGGCCTAAAACACAACAGGAGCTGTAGAGCKTTACACAAAAGAGCGTTACCGCAGATCATTCCTCCCATCAGCTGCTCCCAACATTCTCCATAAGCATCCATGTTTGTGTTTGCACATCAAACAACTCTACCTCTCAATCATTGCATAAATCATAACCAGTGGCAATTGTACATTGTTTTTCTGGTACTGGAACACTAACTTAATGTCTGAGTTCGACTCATTTCGCACACCCCCTCAGATCATGAGTCTGTCAGGACTGTTTTTTCTTGTAATTTTGTATTTTTCTGCACAGTATCTTGCTTTTATGTTTTTATTTTTTTCTAATTTCATCTTGATAGTCCGGTACAGTAATTATTATTTCTTATTTTTATTTTGATCTATGTTTATTTTTTATTGCTACTATTTTTAGTTGTATTATTATTATTGCTACAGTTGATAATGACACATAGCAATATACTGTTTGTGGATTGATGAATGTATCTGCTGCTGGTATTACACCTGAATTTTCCCATGCGGGACAATAAAGGCTGTTTCTATTCTATTCTATTCTATTCTATTCTATTCTATTCTATTCTATTCTATTCTATTCTATTCTATTCTATTCTATAAGTCATGTACAAATACTGAGCTGAAGTTCTGTGTGGTAGTAGCTGAGCATCTCCAACTCATTCTCTGAGAGCTAACAGATCACTCAAGATCGCACAAAAAGTCATTTTCACAGTTGGACCAAAACGGCTCGAACTCTGTCATTTCTTAACATAAGATGATCTTAGTCTAAATCATGAAAAGCAGCAGGTGATACGGTTCCCTCACAGAAGGCTAGGTCTTTATTGATTTTTTGTCTTACATCTGGGTTTGCTGCGAGGACAGTGTAGTTGCCGTCATCATCCAGTGAGGCTGTGGCGGTRTGCAGAGAGCAGGTACCGTCTGGGTCTCGGCTGATCCTGTAGTGTTCGCTCCTCTTTGAGATCTGCTTGCCGTCTTTGAACCAGTAAACCTGTGGAACAAAATACCAAGAAATTCWTTCAACTTACTACTAAACATGATTAAAAAACTTCATTTTAAACATAGTGTAAAGGAACAGGAAATGTTCAAATCATAGTTTTCGTGAMTTTTTTCCTWCTTTTCCGCATCCAGAACCAAACCAGACCAGTGTGTGYGTTCCAGAAAAGTGTCCCACCTCATCATAACAAAACACACACACAGACATACAAGTTTGCACGGTCTAACACAGCTGGGGACATTCCCAAAAATTTCTACAGCCTAACCCTGAGCCCTTACCTTAAAGCTAACCCTAAATCTAACCTAAACTCAATACACATCCTTAGTCCAAACCCCCAACCCACCAGTGTCATTTCTCCTCATGAAAACTGGGCTTAAACCCCCTTAAGTACCAGTTGGTCCCCACAAGTAGGTGCGTATGCCAAAAATGGTCCCCACATAGTAACGAATACCCGCCCATATTTCCATCCATATTAGGATCGTTTGTTTACTTCCATTCATTTCCAGTTGTTTCTATAGACTAACCCTGATCTCTTATGTACCTAACCTAGCCTGGTAAAAACCAGCCCCCTGTCCTACACTTTGCTTCGTAAAGATGGTCTGGGCTCTCAGCTATTGAGAAACGATGTCTTGCTGGAGGTTTGGACTCTGTTGAAGTTTAAAACAGTTGGATCTGATTTACCCAATCGCTAACGTTTGGCGGTGAAGTTAGTGCACCAGCTCGACAGTGAAGGAAGCTATAAGCTAARAAGCTAACTGGGAATTGTGCATGCTGTTAACAACCCTACTGAGAGGAGAGAAGTACTGAGCTGATTGAGATGGCTGTAAATGAGTGCTGCAGGCTTTGAGACAATTTCATTTAAATTTGGAAATCTTGTCAACACAGACTGAATGGCTTCATTCACTTCCTCTGCTGCCATTGCTAAACTACAGGCAGACTGAAACAACAGAAAATCAACGTCGACGTTCACAACTCCTCTTCCTGTTCACTGATTGGCCTGGTTGAAATTCTACTGGAGAAATCCTTGTTTATGGGAGAAATCCCAGATGGAGCAGAGAAGTGAGATTAGAATTGAGCAGCTCTGGGTAGGAAGGCAAAGACCAGGCTAATATGACCCTAAACCTAAAGCTTGGATTATAATTCAATAAGACATGCGACTGCGGGTTGCTGATTGCGTAATTTCAGTGCGCCTTTTCCTGACCGAGTATAAACGGGCTAAAGATGCGGTGGGCCATTAATTATCATAAATCCTCCCTCTGCCCTCTCACAGCTCATATAAAGTATATAAACTACAATAACCACGGCTGGATAGTGGTTTTTCCACTCAACATCAGTGTTAAGTTGAGTGAAGTAGAGACTTTTTTTTGTTTTGTTTTGTTAACGGTGGATGGAAAAAAAGACGCGACCAGCTGCACGCTCACGTTCATCCTTGGGACGTGGATCAAACCAGCTGCTCTTTGAGCTCTTTTTAAAACTGGCTTCAGACAAAAAATATCATTTTAAACAAAACTAGAAGCACTCAGAGAGTGCAAACCTCCGCCAAGTCCAATTTCCCCCACCCTGTCAGAGTTAACGCACAAAGGCAGAGATGGAAACACATTTGCCGAATAAGTTCTGACGTACCGAACATTTAAGCAGGCTGTATGCACGGGATTTCTTCCCGGTGGAGTCCAATGTGGAAAAAAAGGGAAAAAAGTCAGCCTTGTCACCCGACATTATTGTTGAAAGCTTTGGCATCGGTGCTACGTGATTTTAAAAAAGCAGAGTTTTCATCGCACGTCTAATCACACACACACACGCGTCTTCCTATCTTTGTGAGGACCACAACAGCGGTCACAACCACGCTTTGCGCATTATTTTTTCCTCAAAGTTTGGCGAGAGGTGGATAGAGGKGCACACAAAGAGCTCTMGACTTGATCTGGCCTCATTTAAATAATAATAAAAATGAACAAACAAACAAACAACCTCMGAGTCTGAAGTCCACCACGTCACTACTCTTCCTCAATCTTCATTGATCTGTGTACAAGCCTACCGACAATGTGGTGTGTTTGTGGAAATGGGAAAAAAAGGTTTCATGGTGCAGTCATGCACTTCGTGGTCACAAAACGTTCTCTAAATGCGCACCAAATGCATAAAAATGCGCACATTATGGCAAGAATTATTCATCATTACATCTGGTTTTAACATTACTTTTATGAAGTTTGAATTCCAAACACTGAAAGCCGTCACAGTTTTTTTACAGAAGCCCTGTGAAAGCATCACAGCTTTGCCGATCTGAGAGGATTAAAAGAAAAAAAATTCCTGTATCCGCATCGTGACCCGGAACTTCACCAAAATTTAAAGGTGTGTTACTTGTGCCAGTAGCCACATGTGTTGTAAATGTCATGACAATCCATCCACAAGTTTTTGAGTAATGTCCACAGACATAACGACAGGCCGACAGACAGACATACGTGATCGAAAACATTACCTCGCCGTTGGCAGAGGTAATAACATGCAGAAGGAATTGAGCTGCTCGGGTCCTGTTCTGGTCCAGCTCCAACTCCTTGGCGCTGCCACAGCTGAGGACCACTGGCCCTCTGCGGTGCTCCTCATAACAAACACACCCACAAACTCTGGACCTATCACTGAGAACCACAACGTCCCGTCGGCACAGTTCTGACTGGAGGCCATGCAAAAGACAGCTGTCACCGGGGGATAACAGCGGGAGAGCAGACAGAAGTTGCGCAATTTTTTGTCACTCAGCAGGGGGGAAGATGTACAACTCCAAGTGTAAACCAGGCTTAACCTAAACTCAACTCACAACCTAAAAATGGAGTTCCACCATATTAGAACYGGTCCTTGGTCCTCAAAGGACTACTGGTCTTGACAAAGTAGGTGTGTATACCAGAAATGGTCCTAAAACTTTCGAAAGGCAACTGAAGACACGTGTGTTCAGATTGGCTTTTAATTTTTTTGTCCCATATATGCTGTTTTATTTATTCTTCTGTTTTATCTCCTGTGTTTTATGCCTTTTTTTGTAAATCATTTTGTGGTTTCTGAGCTGTGAAAGGTGCTACATAAATAAATAAAATATTTTACTTACTTACTTACTAAAAAGTTAACAAAAACAAGAACACACACATACACACACCCTGATTCAACATCAGCCAATCCCTAAGCAAAGACTCTGAGCTCTTGAAAATATTCAAACCCAGCTTTATTCAGTGAAGGGGTTATTTTTACCTTTGGTTTGGGGTCTCCTTTAACCTTGCAGGAAAATGTGACGGGCATGCCCTCAAACACTTTGTAGTGTTTGAGCTTCTGGTCAAAGGATGGCCCCACCCCCCGACCAGCGGAGTCTTCATCGTGCTGAACGTCGTCGTCCGACTCCTCCACCGGAGAGCGCTCAAGCCGGAACTCGATCTCACTGATCAGACGCTGCTCGAAGCTAGACACTTTGTACTCCTCAAGAGCGAGAGAAAAGAAAAACAGATTTATAATGATGCCATAGTCATTATGTCATAGTATTTACGAGCACATGAAGAAAGTTAAAACCCGGTGCACCCTACACACACTCAATGACACGTCCTTATCGTCAACACATTTCCTCCACTTCCCCAATTCTCTTTCCCCCATATGAGCCACTCCTCCTCCCCACCATCTCCATCAATCTCTCATCACCCAGCGGGGGCAGCGGGGAACATCTACAAAACAGCTCAGAGTGATGACACATTGCACAGATAATGACAGGCCCCGGGCACAGCTGCAAAGCCAGCATTCATCATCCTGAATCAACTCACAGAAAATTGGCCTGTCCCGATGTGCTGAGACTTTTAATCTGCAAGAAGACTGAGGAGGCAGCTGCTTTCCCTAAATAATGTTGTTTTTACCAATTAAACCACAGTACAGATAGCATCTAAGCTAGGGGTCACCAATCTTAAAAAAAACACTTGTAGTTTAWTTTCTGAAATTACATAACTAAAATAAGATGCTGAAGTTTATCAGTATGCCTTTTAGGGCAATGGAAAACACCAAACTCTTGTGAAGAGGAGAAAACTTTTTGTTTTATCAGATTTAACCACTGATTTATAAAAGCCTGTGTAAGTCTGAACTGTATTTGCATAAAAAAAAACTAATAAGTACATCATTCTGAAATAAAAGCAGCATGATTTTCACAGCAGTAGCTGGGACGCCAAGTGTAAAATGAAATGTAAAACATTTCACTAATACGTTATTGTTATTTAGCTCACTGTTCTTACATTTAGATAATTTTTACTAAATGTTAAATGTAAATGTTAAAAAAATATTTAAATGTTAAATCCTAAATCTAAATGTAAAAAGTTAAACCTTAAATGTTGAAGTTCACATTATTTATTCTGGAACGGAACTCAGTCTTTGCTGTTGGTGCTCGGCTCATGTTATGATGTCATCATCCTGAGACAATAGCAACCGCTTCTCTACAAGACATCAAACTTTTAGTTACAGCCAGTGTCTGAGCTGCACTTCAAACTGCTGGACCACAGGTACCACCAYATTGTTTTTATGAACACATTTTGAATTTAGATTTTAAATATTATTTTCAGCAGCGCTAGCGGTGGCTAGCAGTGGCCATTGTTAATGTTTGTCACAGGATGATGACATCATCCTGGTTATCTGACGCTTCTAACACTGCTTTTCTGCTTTTCTAACATTTAAGGTTTAACTTTTGCATTTAGATTTAAACATTTAKATTTAGGATTTAATATTTAAATTTATTTTTTTAATTCAGTAAAAATGAGCTAAATCTAAGAACAGTGAGCTAAATAATGAAAAATATGTTAGTGAAATTTTTTTAACATTTCAGTTTACGCTTGGCGGCCCATGGTAGCTAAGTGAATCTTTAATTTTAAGATTTTTTTTCAAGACAGGTTTTTTGTTCTCTTAATTACTTGCCGTACTGTAGTAGAATTACAGGTTTGAATATCTTTTAAAATAAGTATTTATTATTAAATCCAAAAACAAGCATTTTCCATTTCAGTCAACTTGCCTTCTTGTTGAGAGGTGAAACAAAAGTTTTTGTTTGTGTGTTTACACAGGTTCTTTGTATTGGTGCTGACTGGCTCCCAGATTCAAGCGTGTGCTCAGATACAGAGATGGAGAAACGTCTCGAGTGACATTGTTYAGGTGATGTTTAGCTGAGTTTCTGTTTACTCCTGCAGCTCATTCTCTTTACAAATATGACTTTTCTAGATTGATACAATCTTTCAAAATCACAACCAACTCCAGGAAGAGATGCAGTTCTTCCCTGAACTGAATCTTGGTTCAAAACAGCGCAAACAGCTCCATTAGTTTTCAGTCGTTGTTGCTCTGCAGCAGTTTGTGTAAACAGACCTTTTAATAGAGGACTGCGCAGTGTTTACACCTTGCTCTCATAACAAGCCTGCCTGTGTTTACAGTGTCAGGACAGACAGAAAGCTGGAGATCATGGGATAGGAATGACATTAGCATTGTGTCAGAGGACACAACCAAAAACACAGAGGTGCTRTCACACAGTGCAACACGGGAGGAAAAACCACTGGTGTGAACAAGCTGCTGAAATATTTCCATGCCTGCTTTATAAAAACACCTTTTTTATCTACTTTTATCAGTTTTCTGTATTTTTAGCTTCATTTTTAGGATTTTTGAAGATTTTAAAACAAAATTTAAGTTAATTTTATTACAAAATGTTAATTTCTAACTTTTGAGCTGTATGAATTTTTCCTAAAACTCAATCATTCTGCAAACAAATACTTCTTATTTATACAAAATTTCTAATTGTGTAAAAATAAAACACGTCTAAAGATACAGAGCCTGGGACGGGACATAGGGGGATTTTTTTATTCTGCGTAAAAATGTGTTTTGTATGACCGAAGATTATTGAATTATTAAATCAGACTTTTATTTTGAAATATCCATTTACCAAAACAGGATGTGTTGCCACAAGTTCAGGACCTGCATATTATATATCTTAATGTGTGTCTGTGATACATGCTAAACAAAGTAGTAGCTAACTCCTGTTACAGTGAGCATGTGAGTTTGTTAATAAACCAGCACAACAGTAATAAGCCCTCCATGTCCCCCCGTTAGCTTCGTATAAACATGTACATGTCAGACAACCCAATTAATCTATTTAAGACAACTTAGAGTTTTCACACAGTGGCTTATTTCAAACTGCATGTTTGTTTGCCTGTTTTATCAAGAGTGCTGTCAGGGAAAGACAGACACAGGTGTGTGTGTGTGTGTGGGTCTGGACGTAGAGCTCTGTACCTGTGTGACAGGCTCCTCCTCTGTGTCCTGTGTGTTTAAGACTGTGGCAGCATTGTCGGCCCCCAGCAGCCTGCGAGCCATCTTCTCCTCATAGGTTAGCCTCTGAAAGCAGGGATTAATGAGGTCAGCGGGGGGCAGAGTTAGTGCTGTCAGTGGCACCAAGCACACTTTAACACACCGTCAACTTGCTGCTATGTTTATGACTCATGTTAAAACATGATATTAAAAATGAATCTGTTATAAGTAAGTATTAAGTATGCATTTATGAAACTTTTTTAATGAGTGGCTCTTTGTACACAMGTGTTATTCTGTATTATACTGATCWGTTACTGTTTATTAWCTGTGAAGCGCAAACACACACATGGACACACCTGTTGACCGTTGCTGATGCGCTCCTCTTTAAATCGAAGTTTTCTCTCCAAGTCCTGGATGACAGCATCCTTTGAGCCCTGGATATCTGAGTCAGAGACGGCTCGAGGGGTTTTGGTGACCGACGACTTCCTGGGAAATATTTTACTGAAAAAAAAACAAACAAAAATAAAACTTTTTTACCATTAAAGCTGTGCCTCCTTGTACCTCTACACACATGCACACAATTATTTCAAATTCTGTTGTTTTCTTAATTTAGCTGTCTTCATCCAGCCACATTTATCTGGACATGTCCAGTTATTACATTCCACACCGTATCTTCTTATCTCTCTGTGGCTGATGCAGGAATGCCAGGGAGAGATGAGGAGTGCAGTAGTGAGTGAGAGGTTGATGAAAAAATGACTAACAGAGGGATGAATGTGGAATGTCCACACAGGAACAGAAAGAAATTATTTCTCTCTTATCAGAAGAGGATTACCTGCAGATTCCTATCRGCTGACTCAATATGCCAAGCTGAAAATGAAATTATCATCCCTGCTGGGTTACTTTTTCTAATGATGGATTATGACTGAAATACCAACTGGGTCAAACATATGTGCTAACACGTGTGTTTGATTTGGACACATCTTTCACTCTCAGGTCAGAGTTTCTTCTCCTCATTCCACCTCCAGAACACCTCTTTCTGTCTGAACACGGGACTCTGTCCTCTCTGGTTCAGCATTTTTCTGTAAATGTGTTGTGCAAAAATGTAAAGATGTCCAGTGATGGTCCTAATCCAATGCAGATAGACATCTCTGTGACGTAGACAAGAATGGGCTGAAGCTGATATGTAATTACTGGCGCAATGATACTGAACATTCATGCTTCGGTTTGATACTTTAGTCTCACGGTTCAATACAATACAAAAATAAGAAATGTCCATGCTCAGTGGAGGCCACAGTTCCCCTAAAGCACTAAAACACTAACAGGGGAACTAATTTCTTGATTAGTGCTTTAGGGCTTTTGCTGTTTTTAAAATTCATTAGTGGATTAGCACTGGCTAAATTTATGGGCTAAATATAGAAGCACTAACTGAAATCATTAAATGTTATTTATCAACATTATTGAGGGTGAAAGCTCTCACACATTTTGTTCTTTTTGTGTGTCACTTATCTACAAGCTCATGTGTCAAACTCAAGGCTCACGGGCCAAATGTGGCCTGCGGGTGACTCCCATTTGGCCTGGCAAGGGCACTAAGTGACAACATTCTGCACCAACCCATGTTGACTGAAGAATGTTTCATGTGTGAACTGGATTATTTTAGTGCTTTAGAATTAGCTTTTGCTAAATTTTTCAATGCGTTAGTGCTTTAGAATTAGGGAACCTAAATATTTGAGTTAGTGCTTTAGAGTTAGTGCAACTAATATTTAGATTAGTGCTGCCCACCACTGTTCACGCCCTTCTCAAGTTGTGACTTATTGAAATTAATTATGAATTTTTGTTTAACCTCAAAAGTCCAGTTTTTAAATGAAATGTTGCTGAAACAGCAGGATTCTCAGTGGATCTGTGCTCGACAATACAGCCTAGGTGGAGTAGTCGAACACAGATCCACTGAWTCTTCAACACAAAGCGTMTTCAGAAGTCAAGTTGATAAAATATATTTTAAAAATCTATTGTTTCACACATAGTGTGTGTTGAACCTAAAGCACTGTACTGAACAGATACATGTATTAATGCACCCCAAGTAATTAGGCTGTTTTTGTTTCTGGGCGTATTTTTATTTGTTTTTGGTGAAGAATGGAGGCTAGATTGGAGTGCATTGAAAACCTTTTGGGTTCTGGGCCGACAAAACCCTACTGACCCGAAACACGCGGGTTCAAAAAGAAAAGGCTGAAGAGAAAGAGCACCCTCACCAGTATTTACACTTGGCTCTTCTGTTGTTGTGTTCTCCAAAAGGACATGTGGCAGTACGCTTTAYAACTTGTGAAAAGTTGTAAAACAAACAGTTTGAATGGTGCAACAGACTTTGCGAAGCACTTTTGGAGCGTGCACCTCAGTGTTCAACCGATCAACTATACCAGGCTTCAATGTCATATCTGGGAGATGTCCATAGATCTCAGGCTTTGGTTATCCCGTGCGAATGCACCACATAAAAAACAGACGTTGGGGAGTAAGTTATTTATTACATAGGGTCCCCAGATAATGATTATCCTGTGCTAATAGAGCTTAGGACAACATTATGGAAAATCTCACCTAATTTTGTGATTTCTTGAACTCACAGGATGTGTCATGAAAAACTCAGCTACCACCACATTGAATTTTGGCTCAGTATTTGTAAAATTAGCTAAGTTAGAGCCATCATTGTGTTTGCGAAGCTTGATTACCATATTTATTCATGTATAATATGATCTCGTATAATACGACACCCCCCCCCCCCCCGTTTTGAGCTTGAAAAGCATAAAAAATTTAATCTTCAAACTTCCTCTAATTTCATAGAGACTTTAAGATTTTTCAGCCTTTGCAGTCTTTATACATATCAGTAAAATGATCATTGGACTGTTCATTTTATTTTAACAACATATGTACTAAAAGGTATTTTGACAACAAATATAGATCAGCTGTAGCAGCATCATATGAATTCTGGCATTTTACACATAGTCCACCAGGAGGCGCCAACACAAAAGTCAGAGACTTCACATGAGGTTTGGGCCATCTTGTGGGGGAAAAGCAGATTACTTCCTACTCGTGAGCGCCCCGGCCTCTGGTGGGGAAACTTTTTCAGGGATGCAAAGTTTTTCAGAACACCGGTAGACGGCAGCCATTACAGACGAACATGTGTTTGTTGTTGATCGAGGAGTGGCCCGGTTACACGCTAATGTCATTAGTTCGTTATCATTACTAAGCTGCAGGAATACCTTTTCCCCCCTTTTTCACATCATGTCTCCTGCCTGGATCTGTTATCTCACTCTGGAGCACGGAGGAGTGTCAGAGGTGAGCTCGTTTCAACTGCTTTTTACGACGCGGTCTCATTTCCGGACTCAATAATTTTGTGAATGAAGCCGATATTTCAGTTAAAATACATAAGTAAAAATATTTATCCGAGTATAGAACTACCCCCCCAACTTTATGGATGATTTTGTGGATTTAATTTTACATATTATACTTGAATAAATATGGTAGTTGTGGTGGTCATCTTGAATTTGGTTAACTCTAAAATGTAATCAACTGTACATAATCTGCTGATTAAATTCCCTCCAGTGGTTCATGAGATATTTAGCTAATAGATGCAAGTAAAACCATCATGCCCTGCCTTTAGGTGGCGGGCAGCAAAGAACCCTAATGTCTCACCTGATGAGACAGAAGACATTTGAAAGATAACTGTGTGTGTGTGTGGAAGTTTAAGCGAGGGACACTTACACTGTCCCGTTGCCTTTTGGGAGACCCAGGCTGTTGACGGTTGGGCTGCCGGGTGTGGAGGGTGTGGTGGGCAACACTGATGACAGGAAGCTGGAGGCGGGGGACGGAGGCACAGAGGAGAAAGGCGAGGACATGTCTGAGAAAGCCGGAGAGGCTGAGGCAGGTGGAGGGGGAGGAGGCGGGGGAGGGGGGAAATCCTGGGCGGAGCCCGATGGCGAGGGCAGGTTGCTGGAGCTGAGAAAAGGTGGAGGTGGAGGGGGGAAGGAGGGGGAACTCGGAGACTCCACACCGCTGTCCTTGGTGAAAGGGGGCAGGGTGACTCTGCTGAAGGGCTTGTGGGAGGCGGGAGGGGACAGGGGGGATGACAGGCTGGACCCGGAGGAGCCGGAGGACTGGGGGGTGAAGCCCGCCCCACCCGGACTCTGGGCGGCGATGAACTGCTTGGGCCGGGCGTAGTTAAAGGTGCTGGCCTGCATGGCTGTGCTGCTCTCCAGCTCCTGGAAGGAGGGAGGAGGGGGGAGAGGAGGAGAGGGCGGAGGGGGCAGAGGCACTTCCTGGATCGGTTGCTGGGGCGGAGGCGGGACTTCCTGGTTCTGCTGCTCCTCTTGCTGCCGTTGCTCCAACAGAACCTGGTCCTGCAGCTGCTTCAGTTGAGACGCGTTCCTGTGAGGAAGAGGAGGCACAACTTTAACAACATCCTCACACTTTGAACAACAAAGGCCCTGCAGTGATGGGTGGTGCTGGGCTGTAACACAGTGACAGAAAAATGTTACAAAATCAAACATCTGCTCTCAGTTTTGACACAATAGCAAGATTTATCCAACTCAGAGGTTAACTGTTAAAGACATAAATCTTTCTGACAGCAGCGTCAGCCAGTAACAGGCCTGAACTGTTTCTCAAGAGCACATGTGTCAAACACAAGGCCCACGACTCCTGTGTGGCATGGTTCTACCATGCAATATTTTAAAAGTTCAAATTATTATCCAATACAGTTGCAGATACAGCTATATTTTAATTTGCACTTTAAATTAATTTTTGTAGTTTATTTTTAAACATTTTGAATGTATTTTAAAGAAACTTTAAACTTGTCAAAAAGCTGTTGTTACTGTTACTGTTTGTCACTT